CTGAGCTGCTCCATCCGCATTGACATGTTCCCTTTCCGAACATATTCTTATGGTCCCACATCAGTTTATTTATTTTACCACACCCTTTTCTTCCTAATTAGGGTAACTTATTATTATAGTATCAATCTGGCTTCTGAGATCTTTTCATTCCTCTTGGAGGCATATTTTTTAAGAGTCTCTGGCCCCATACTTATAAAGTAATTTCCCAGGGCTTTGCGCTGTCTAATCAATGTATCTATATACATTTTATGTTTTTTTTTCCTCTCTTGGTTGCTGTGATCTCTGGAATGATAATTTGCAGTCTCCCAAGTTCCCATTATAGCATCTCACTAACGTTTTTCTGGTCAGATGTTGTCAGAAATGGAGATTTTCTTCTTTGTTTCTTCAACCATCTGAAGATGCTGTTGCAAGTGTTTCAAAAAGCATTTATTGAATGAATGTTCTTGCTGTTGGAGAGCTGCGGGGTCTTTCCAGCTTTAGATATTTTCAGGTATAACAGAAATGTGAAATGTGAGAGTGACTTGAGCAAGGATCATGAGAACCTGATACAAAAGTGGCTTGAAGAGACCGGAACCAGCAGAGAAGCAGGGGATGTGGTCATCTTCGGGTTGTAGGCATGTGTATATTGAGTGGTGGTGAGGGGGTCACGGACATGTGCAGGCTTCATTTTACATGCCTTATCACACATCTGAGCCACCATAGCATGGAATCAATCTGCTGTCACCTCTCAGTCACCTTCCTCATGGACAGTTTGGAATCATTTCTGCTGGCTACCCCGACAGTACACCAAAGATGATGAAGTGTGAAGAACCCACAATAATTGTAAAGAAATATGTAGACAACCCTATAAATTATTTATAATTAAATAAAATCAGACTATATTGTGGAGTATACCAATATTTATAAAGTGACTGTATTTCACAGGGCCTCCAAAGCCCTGCAGTTTCAGGTTTAGCCTAACTTCTTAAAAGTACATGTAGAAATGTTAATGTTGCAAAACACAGGAAACTTTCCCCAGGCTATAGTCTCTGCTGTAAGATAAAGAATTGTAACACAGCAAGGTTGCTGGCTCAGGGACAGACAAGTTACTTGATTGATATGTAAAGATACTGGGAAATAACTGTAGGGAAAAACAGTGTTTGCTAAGATCAAGCTTTTGTTGGTGGATCGACTTCGGCCTTTGCAAATTGCATTATGGAATGTCACTTTGCTTGTTTGATGTTACCAGCCTATATTGTTAAACTATAACCCCACTCATGTTCTTTTCCTGTAACTTCCTGATCTGGAGAATAAGTGTGGGGTGAGAACCCCAGTTTGTGGTTAATTTCCCAAAAGGAAGGAATGCCTCTCTTTTGAGGCTTCTCACTGCTCAGAAGAAATGGGTTTTGAGCAATCCTTTGTGGCTCCATCACCCAGGGGAAGAGGAGTGACAAATCCATGGGAGGCAAAGCAACACTATATAAAAATGACTCCTCTTTTATCTCATTCGCCGCTTTGCAAAATACTGTTCGTCCTTTAAGATTCTGTCCCTTCTGAATGAAGCTTTCCCTGACAGACCCAGGCAGACTTAGCCATCTTTCTTTTGTGTTGCTACCCCTGTGTTTTGTATTATGAGTGTTTATGGGTCGGTCATCCTCATTTTAACTTTGAACCCTTGACAACAGATACTATTTCTTGGTCATTTTTCTATTTCCAACACATACTATATTACATAGTAGGATATATTATTAAAACATGATGTAAATCAATGATGTTCTTGAAGGTGTTAGGACTGCTTGGCCTACATTAGCTGACTTAAAGACATGAAAATGTCTTAGTTTGAAAGGCTTGCTTTTAGAACTGTGACCACTAACTAGAAGTTACAGAGGAGTATTGGGGGATCAATATAAAGAACTTTGTAGTAATTTGAGATATTCACAAGTGCAATAAACTGATGATGAGTAATGATCATTCACCAATGAAAGCTCTCATGCAACAGAGGATCATTATGTATGTCTGTTATGTGTGTGTATAGATGAATGGTAAGAGGTTATTTAAAACTGGTGAGTATGTGATTTTGTGGGGATAGTTGTATCCAGAAGCTATTTTCAATATTCCAGAAGATAAGGAAACATAAATTTTCCAACAACAAATCTTCATGGCTTTTAAAAACTTCAAAATGTTTTACTTGGGCCAGACTTATCAATTCAGTGTGATGACCCTGGTTATCGTGTGGACACCAAACTCTAGTTGGCTGTTAGCTATGCATTACCTTTGATTTTTGTAAAAATTCAAAAACAAGTTATTGTTCCTGACTCCAATTTGTTTGGAGGGGAGGGATTTCATAACAGGGAGTCCATGCAGAAAACATATCAAAAGAATTTTTTTATCATGAACTGAATTAATTTCATTTTATATTCTATGGAGTTATTTTTCTGACATTTTTTACATCTCTGAGATAAGAATGCATGTTACAATGGGAGACGTTCTATATTTAATTGCAGTGTTAAACATATTTACTAATGTTACATGAAATAAATGTACAGCCTATAATCCATATTGTGTTAATGGTCAAAGAAATACAAGTTGAGTTACAGTGGCTGAGAGTGTGTGCATGGTCTTGGGTCAGGACTGCCTGAGTTCAGATCCTGTGTAACCTAGTTGGGCTCCTTAATTTCTGAGTCTTAGCTTTCTCATCTGTAATAGAGGGATGACAATAATATCTACCTTATACATTGCTTGTGAAAAAATGAATGAGATGATCCTTCAATGTGTTAAGCATTTCTTCTATTTTATTAATCTCAACTTGTCATAGCCACAAGAGTTAATGCTTCTCCAAAATTGCCAAAAATCACCAAAATTACCAGTAAAAAAAAAAAAAATTACTGAAAATCTTGGAAGATCTGACATTATTTTATTTTATTATGCAAATAATTTTGACCTCCAAAGAATATTTATTTTGCTTCAGCAGCCTCATTTCTTCTGTACTGCTAACCAAATAGTTTACTGTATTTTGTACAACAATTTATAATGAACCTTAAAAAACTACGGATTATCTTAGGGTTTTTGGCTCAATTACCTGTTTCAAATGCTCAATGACGAAAGAAAGCATGTCATTTTCTCCTCTCCTGCACATTGGAGTATAACAATAGACTGTGAATAGAGCAAATCAAAGAGACACAAATATCAGTATAAGGCGCCCATTGTGTTTAGTTTGTTTCCCTGTCTTATGGTTTTAATTTAGGTTGGCTGATTGATTATGACAGACTGACAGATAGCACATTGTTCTCTTCTTGGAATCTCTAGACGCTTTAATATTCCTTTTCTTATCTGTCCATTTCAATTCCAAAACTTAAATGAAATGGAATTTTTATATTAGTGGAAGTTTAAACTTTAAAGGTTTGTGGTATATATACACAATGGAATACTACTCAGCCATAAAAAAGAATGAGATTCTACCTTTTGCAGCAACATGAATGAGCCTGGAGAAAATTATTCTAAGTGAAACAACCCAGGTACAGAAAGAGAAATACCACTCATAACTGGGAACTGAATCCATAAATAAACAAATGAACAATAAAGAGAGACAGAGAAAGAATGAAAGAAACAACAAGGAAAGTAATATGTTGAATTTTTAGAAAACTAGAGGTGGAATAGGGGAAGGGGGCTAATGAGGAACTGGTCGATGGACACAAAGAATGATTACAATATTGTAATGATGAATAAGCTATTTATACTGATCTAACCACCACCCACATTCTGCACAATTATTGAAAAGCAATGTTGTACCCCACATGTATGTATAATGAAAAAAAAAAAAGTCTTTAAGCGTTTGTAGAAGTAATCATCAGCCAAACCTTCTCTTTCTGGGTTTGAGAAACAGGCTCATGATGCGTAAGTGAGCTGATACTAAGGTAGTGGCAAAGCATCCCCCATCTCTTCTGACTGCCAGGACAGACTCTGGATACTCTCCTGTGCAGCCTCAACATCAGGCTTCTGCAAGCAGATAGGTCTGCAGAGATCTACTCCTATCTTTAGAACTTTAAGACAGGGGCTGATCTTTCACTTTTGGTTCTTTATACCTTTCTATTTCTTGATTTGAACAATAAAATGAAAAAAGCATGAACCATTTTTACAACATAATAAAAATGCTGTGTTGAAGAGTATAATTTTTAAAAATGGATTTTAATGTTCTGAATGAATACCATATAGAATAAGCAACAATAAGCAATAACTAAAAGTAACCTACAGCATGAATATGGTTTGCTAAGGCATATTTCTCAGAGGCGACTTCAATTCAGTGGTGTATGTATTAAATCCTTCTGTTTGTGTTGACGAAGGGGCTGCATGGTTATTTATATGTCATGGTTTAAATACTTGGCTGTATTGCCCAAGGCTTCAAACAGCTCTATGCCTCCAAGAAGAGGCTGCTCAGATTTCTTATTTGTCTTTCAGTTGGATCCTGCCTTCTGATACGCTTCTCTTCATGGTCATACTCAAGGACACTATTTTCAGATCTGTCTGAATTCAACTCATCAACTTTTGCTTTTCATTAATACTTTGAATAACATTCCAGTTCATTTATGGAAGAGAAAAAGCAAAATATGTTTAAGTAACATCAGGTATTTGTACATTGGGATGACTTATCCTTTCATTCATGCTTTCTTCTGGCATTTTGACTGTCTTCAAAGTGGCCTGAAACTCTGCCAAGCAGGAAGGGAGAAGAAGAGGGTTCCTCTGCCACTACTTGTGAAACCATTCATGCTTTCTTCTGGCATTTTGACTGTCTTCAAAGTGGCCTGAAACTCTGCCAAGCAGGAAAGGAGAAGAAGAGGGTTCCTCTGCCACTACTTGTGAAACCATGGCTAGGAAGAGTAAAGTCTGATAGCTGAAAATGCAAGCTGTGTTGCATCTTCTCTGACTTTGCCTAGAGTGATATCCATGCTTGGGTATTTATTATCTTGCATACTTACCATTCATATTCAACTTATCCTTCAACATTACTATTTTTACAGCTTCTGCCACCTTTGAAGACTTTCAGATTCGTCCCCACACTCTCTTTGTTCATTCATACAGAGCTCCAGCCTTCTGTGATCACTGTGGAGAAATGCTGTGGGGGCTGGTGCGCCAAGGCCTGAAATGTGAAGGTGAGTCATTTTCTCCCCACACCGAGTTGAATGTGTGCTGGAGATATCTGCTTATGTCGTGCCATCCATGACAGTGTCTTTTCCTCAGAAATATCTTCCAGGCATTTTTTGGGTGCATGGATTCTGTTCTGTACAATCCTTTAAATTTCCTGTCTTTAACATACTTGCTCTGATCTGGGAACCCTATTTCTCACATCTTTTGCCATATATCGTGTGGATACATTTCTCCCCTATATCAGGTTGATATATTAGCAATAGACTAAAAATAAAATTTGCATCTTAAGTAAGCCAGAAGTTGGAATAGTAGGTATTCAATAAGTGTTTGTTGAAATGAGCAGAGATTGAAGAGATTCATCCTATCACCCAAGGTCAATCAGCTATTGAGTACCAGGCTGGAACTTGGACCTGCGTTTCTATGCCTATACTGTAGTTTATCATAGACTCTGGAAAGAACTCCTTGAACTGCACAACTCAAGATACTAGAACAACATAATATAATCTTAAAAACTTATGAAGTCATACCCTATTCTCTTTAGATTCAGGGGGATAGAGCTCTTGGAATTTTGGCCAATATGACCAAGCATTTATGATGTGACTTATAAATGCGCTAACCACAATTTTTGAATTTCTCCCTGTGAGGAGGGAAGTTAGGAGACAGTGATCTAGAAAAAACTCTGCCTAAAGTATCATTTTAAGAAAATTAGTCTGGCCTGCTGTATGACATATGGAGAAATTCTGAGTCGTGAACTCCAGCTGTATGGGGAATATGAATAGCAGAAATAGTGAAAGGAAAATACTTCCCTTAGTGGGGAATCTTCTTCCAATTATCCATCATCTATGATGTGAAAACCAGCACCTGAGGTATTTGACATATGATTTTCTTAATAACACTACAAGCTACTTATTATCTCCATTTTACAGACAACTGAGGTGAAATAATTTGTTTAAGGCCATGTAGACAAACAAGTTGAGGAGCCAGGATTCAAATCAACGTAGTCCAGAAACTGTGATGCACTGTAATTCATTTTCCCGTATGTGTCCACTCACATTAGAACTTGTGGCAGCTAAAAGTGGCTCAGATCATCTATTTGGAGTTTTGTTGCTAGATCCCTCAAAGCCCAAGTCTATTATATCACAAAACATTTTCAAAAGTGGTAATCAGAGAACTTGCTGAGTTTGTCCAATAAAATCAGAATTCAAAACCCCTTTACAAATTGGAAAAAAAAATCAGAGAAAGCGCAAAAGAAAATTTGAATTTCCAAATAGCCTCAAGAAAAATGGAAGCAGCAATATTTTAAAAATTCATAATTTATAATTAATACTGGAATAGCTTTTAACTTATGGTTGAAGCAAAGTTATTGTTATTTTCTCTTTCCAGGATGCGGTCTGAATTACCATAAGAGGTGTGCATTTAAAATCCCCAACAATTGCAGTGGCGTGAGGCGGAGAAGGCTCTCGAATGTTTCCCTCACTGGGCTCAGCACCGTCCGCACGTCATCTGCTGAGCTCTCCACCAGTGCCCCTGACGAGCCCCTTTTGGTATGGCCTCCTGTTTATCTATTTCCCCTTTTACATGAGAAATCTGTGGGACGATGTGATAACAGTGTCAATTCAAGACAGTTTGCTGGGAGGAAGACACAGCTAGGGTGTTAATGACTGTTTCTTCAAAGCCTGTGCTGTAGGTTGGTCAATGCTTCATTGAATATCCAACAGCTTTGAGTTTGCTTTTGTCTCTAAGCTTAGTGATATTATAAAATATGTGAGGTTTCATCGTGGTCATAGGGCCAGAGCAGCACAAACTAATGTGTTAATGTTGCAAAACATAGTTAGTCAAAATTTGGATACCGGAGATAAAAGATGTTCTCCAAAGATTATTAAAAGCAATTAGTGGCATAGCTGAATATTTATTTTGGGAGAAAATTTGAAGCTCGCTTTTATGAAAATATGAAAGTCTTTTATTGCTTGGTGTTACTGACATATATATAGGTTTATTGTCAGATACTGACAAACCCCGTGAGGAAAACAGCACTTAATACTTTAAATATTCCTATTAGCTCTAAAATATATATCTTATGGGTATGGCTTAAATATGCTTTGTTCAGAAAGTTAAAATTTGATTTTCCAAACATTCAGAACAAAATTAAAATATGGTAATTGTGTGAATTATTTAAGATAAAAACATTACTCTAAAACAGGCTAATGGTTTGAGGCCTTAAATTTCCCTTATTTACTCCCTCCACTCCCCAAGAGATATTAGAAGGACTCTTTATAATCCAGCTATTGTAAAAATTAGTTAGAGAAAAATAATAAAAACAGTATTAAAATATTTAGGTTGAATAAATCCCTACTGGAGTGGAAGGGGACAAGAGCAATGACTTTTGGAAACAGCTGTGAGAAGTTGTTTTAATTCATTGTTTGGAAACTATTTTATTATGAACTTTATATCCCCAGATTTTTTGTTTGTTTGTTTTATTTTTCAAAGATTTAATGTATTCAAATTATAGATACTGGGTATTAAAATTTCTTCATAGCTATTCCTAAATCTGATTGAAACCCAGGAATACGTATAAATGCTATGAAAATATCTCATCGCTGATAATTTTTTTTTTTTTTTGTTTGGGTGAAATGAGAACTCAGCCATGTCATTGTTTGAATGAAAAACTCTGCTTGCATTTGCTAAAAAGGAATTATTTTACATTTCTTTGAAGTACATATACGTCCCCAAATTGGTATTGCCTGATAAAATCATATAGTGTCCAGAAAACTAGTTTTGAAATTCT